TGAAGCAATGTCCCAGGAATTTACCAGCTTAGACTTTTACAAGGTGAGTTGAACCTGGTTGTATCCTGTACACTTATATATACACAATTTTTAAAAGGTCGACGTTGATAAAAATGACGAGACTGCCGAAAGGCAAGGCATCCAGGCTATGCCAACTTTCCAGTTTTTCAAGAATGGGAAGAAGATTGATGATATGAGAGGAGCCAATGAAGCAAAGCTTAGAGAAATGATACAAAAGTATGCTAAGTAAAGGCAATCCGAGAACTTTATAATGAACTTATAGTCTTGTAGTTTTTGGAGCTTTTTGTTTTGTAGTAGATCATTAGTAAAAAGAGCTGTTTTGCAAAGTTTAATATAATACACGATTATGTGCCTGACTCCAGAAAGGTCAAACTTTGCGAGTTGTTATAATTTGATAATTATTATGACAGTCATCAAGGAGTGATAACCTTTTAAGTCATTATAATAACTTTTAGATCTATCCTGCCCACAATAAAGTTATGTTAGCCTGTTGTGGTAAAAAGTCTAAATTATTATTATCAATAATAATAATAATAATAATAATAATAATAATAATAATAAGGTAATAATAATAATAATAATAATAATAATAATAATAATAAGGTAATAATAATAATAATAATAATAATAATAATAATAATAATAATAAGGTTAAGTCTTTTTCAGTGTCAAGAGGACTCTGGGTGCATGTACAGGTGTAATAGAAGTCGCTATTCCTTCTCTTTTTCCTTCCATTCCTTGAGTGAGAGAATGTGGAGCCATAGTCCGGCTACGAGGCAAAGAACCAACTGTACTGTTTCTTACATAGCGCCTTGATCTAAAATCCGATGCAGTGTGAGGTCGAGATGTAGGGGGAGGGGCAGGGGGCGGAGACACAGGATGCTCAATGGTGGTGGGCCTTTCCATTGAACTGTGTGAGGTAGTAGTAATTGATTTGTGTGTTAATGAAATCATACCTTGTTACATGTAATGGAGAGTCCACTTCTGGCGTATGAAGGTGCTGTTGCTGTAAACAAGGAAGAAATAATTATATTACAATCTTGAACTGTGACACTAACGATTCATTTGTACATGTACACTCAATAATTGACTTATACTACAGTATACACAAGAGTACATGTACTCTTGGTATACATGATCCAATAATT